GTTATATATTTTGGTCATTTTTCATCCCTAACATTTTCGGAGAAAATAATCATGCTTTCCATGTTCAGTCGGAATTGATGGAATTTAGTTTTATTTCGCATAGAGGTTCAAACATTATTTTTACTGCTGCTATTTTTTTCACACTAGGGTTTTTTCGCAATTTAGGATGAAAGTGCTAAGAATTAAAAGAAAGTTAATATTCCAGTGTTCTTAGAGTGGTATCAAATAAAAAAATTACACATAGTTATTAAGAAAGAAATAGCTAAAAAGAAGAACGAGACAATTTAGAAGGGCCAACCAAGAAGAATCCTTTCCACATCTTTCCGTAAAAATCAGCTCAAGATTGCAGAAACCCAGTCATATATTTTCTTCATATATTTAAATATAAAGTGAATTAGTTACAATTTATTTTCGTCCAAATTCATTTCTTAGCATTTCAAATACTTTTGAAAATGATTTTGAATGACCGTAAATTAGGACCGACGTTATCATCTCTCCTTCATTTTGTTATTGAAACTAGATTATAGACCATACCAGTTGAACAATTGTTATTCAATGTAACTCAATTTAAAGAGAATTTTACTTCAGTTTCACTATCATGTACAATATCTTATCATACTTTATATTGTAAGTTTTTGATCCATAAAGATGATTAATATTTTTTTGAACGAATAAAAATTATTCAAATGGATGGAATTATTAGTTAGCTGAAATGTCTACCTGACGTAGTTTTTGTTGACGAATATTAAATATTTTGAAACAAGTCTTCAAACCACTGAAGATGTGGTTTTTCAAATCATGTTCATTTATTTTCGACTATTACATATGTATATACTATATTACATACTATACAGATATTACAAGTTTTAGGTATTCATAATTTGATATTTAAATTGAACATTATACGTCAAATGTTATTTGGTATATTATCCGTCCATTGAATTTCCCACATTAGGCTAATATTCTTCAACAATTGTTATTAAAATTAGAATGAAGGTATTGTAACCTTGTATCGATTGTTAATGACATTGTCACTATTCAAGCATTTCCTCTTTTCGTTACTGTCTAATACTTCAACGTGATCAAGTTGATTATTAAAGAGGAGTGTTGACACCATTCAGATAAAAATCGAAAAATCAGTATTGGTCGTCTGGGATTCATCACCAATTTTCGTGATATATATATATATATATATATATATATATATATATATATATATATATATATATATATATATATATATATATATATTATTATTATTTCGATTGTTCCCCACGAGGAGAGCGACTGAACTTGAGTTCGCAATCATTAGAAATTCTGCTTCATCTTTTTTGCCTCCCAAAAACGCTTCATCCTCTCTGAATGCACTTTCTTCCGTTCATCTGTCCACTTTACTCCAGGTTGACGATTTACTTTTTGCTTGAACTTCATATGTGCGATTTTATAGCGGCATTCAGTGCGATCTTCGAGATTTTTTATATTTATCTGTTGTAGATCCTCTTGGACCACTTTTAGCCACTCTGTTCCGCATTTACTATTCATAATTATATTGAGTAGTTTCTTCGGTATTCTGGACTGTTTCATTCTGTAGACATGTGCATAGAACTTTGCTCGTCGTTTTCTGATTTCTTCCGTTATCGTATTTGTCTTTTGATACAGTTCATTTTGAGGTCATTTCATCCAAATACCGTTTCTATTGATTGGCCCGTAAATCTTTCTGAGAATTTTTCGTTCTTGTTTTTCTATTTCTCTAATTCTTGAATGGCCGCCAATAACCATTGTTTCAGCTGCGTAGATTGCTTCTGGAAGAATCGTTGTGTTATAATGCCTCAATTTGGCGCCTCTCGAAATGCACTTTTTGTTATAGTGAGCCCATGATAGTTTGTAGGCCCTTTGGAGCTTGGTTTTTCTCTGTTCATTAGCGATTCGATTTAAACCTGAGGACTGTTTAACTTCCCCGAGGTATTTAAAGTGGCCTACTTGCAGAATTTCACCATGTTTTGTCATAAGAGAAGATTTATTTTTTGGTTTTCTTTCCATGTATTTGGTTTTATCATAAGAAATTTGTAACCCGGTTTTCTGCGCAATTTCATGTAGTTTTTCCACGGCGCGAATGGCTTCAGTTCTGTTGTCTGTGATGATAGCAATGTCGTCTGCAAGGCGAGACATTTGACATTTATTCTATTTTCTTTTTTGATGCCCACTTGTTTGCCCTTCACGTGAAGTTCCCATTCCCTTATGATCTTTTCTAAAACAATATTGAAAAGAATTGGCGAAAGTCCGTCCCCCTGCCGCACACCGGTTTTGATTTCAAAGGGATCTGATATTTCACCCTTAAATTTTACCTTGGAAGTTGTACCTGTAAGTGTCTGTTCTATAATTGTTCGGGTCTTTCGATCGATTCCAAATTCTTTCATAATTTCGAAAAGGGTTTCGCGGTCTACCGAGTCATATGCTTTCTTGAAGTCAATGAATGTGATCACTGTATTTCTACATTTCCTCATCTGTAATATCGTCTTCAAAGTCCAGATCTGTTCAGCACATGATCGGCCTTTTCTGAATCCAGCTTGGTATTCTCCAATTAGTGGATCCGCTTGGTGTTCTACTCTGTTTAGGAGTGCTTTAGAAAGTATTTTGTACGCAACCGGGAGTAAGGAAATTCCCCTGTAATTATTGATATCCATTTTGTCCCCCTTTTTGTGCAATAGATGTATCAACGCCCATTTCCAATCCTCTGGTATCTGTTCCGTTCTCCAGATTTCTGATATTAAATGATGAAGTTTTTGGGTCAAAGTAGTATCGTTCAGTTTCCAGAGTTCCGCAATAATCCCATCTTCTCCTGCTGCTTTGTTGTTTTTGAGTTGCTTGATAATTGCTGTAATCTCTTCCATATCAGGGGCTTGCGATTCTGGATGCGTAAACCCCGAAAAGTCGAACTTAAGTTATTCTTGGGGAGGATTGTAGTTGAGAAGGGTGCTGAAATATTCGGCTAACATTTTGCAGTTATTTTTTGTGTTAGTGTTTTGTGTTTTTGTGTTATGTTTTGTGATGTTTCAGATATTTGGTATCGGACATAACTTTTCTGGGTGTGAATTTTTTATTTCTGTTGGGTTGAAATTTTGTTTTTATTTGGAGGAGATAGTGATCCGAATCGAAGACGCCTTTACGAGTTCTGACATTTAAAATTTCCTTTACGTTGTTCTTGGAAATTGCGACATGATCAATTTGATATTCACCCTGCTTGAGACTGGGCGATCTCCAAGTAGTTAGCTTATGTGCAGGTTTTTGGAATTGAGTACTCATGATTTTGAGTTCGAAGTTCCTACAGAACGCGATTAACCTTTCACCGTTCTTGTTGGTACGTTTGTGTTTAGTATGGGGACCCGTAGTATCTCTGAATTTCCTTTCCTTACCTAGCTGTGCGTTAAAATCTCCTATCAAGATTTTCACGTGGTGTTTTAGTATTTTATTGGTTGTTTCTTCCAATGTTTTCCAAAAATCTTGTACGCTTTCTGGAACGGTTTTGTTGTGGTGATTAATGGGAGCGTGCACGGTGACTGTAAAGTAAGCTTTATTAGCTGATTTAATAGAAAGCAATGAGACTCTCTCGTTGGGCGATGTGAAATTGATAACCGAGTCTAGTATGGAATTGTGTATCGCGAATCCGGTACCTAAAAGCGGTAATTTGCCCATTACTTTCACGGCAGGTGTCCCCTTGTAGATTCTGAAACTGTCGGTATCGAAATGATTCTCGTCCATGAATCGTGTTTCTTGGAGAGCGGTGATTTTGAGATTGAACTTTCTCATGGTGTTGGTAGCTGCTTCAGTTTACCTGTGTTAGCGAGTGTATTAACGTTAATTGTACCGATGTGATGTTTTTGTTTGATCTTGAGATAATGGAAGGTTTTTGAGAAGCTCCGATTCTTCTCCGGGTGGTGTCCCTGATCCCCCAGAATCCGATGATCAGGTGAAGCCAGTCTTTCGACTGGTGCCTGGGGTAGTGATACTTTGATCTTGTTTTCCATCATGCGTTCAAGCTGAATAGAGCTAAGTGGTGGTCTCAGTTGAGACCACAGGGTTTACGACTCGATTTTTGAGTTCGAGAAGATTGAAATACAGCCGCCTCAATTAGAGAAACAGACGTTGACCACTGGCCGTCAGATACTGAACAGACGCCAATGGATTTGTTTAGTTAGTTTTTGGTCCGCCCCGTGTATCAGTGTCTCCTATATCTAGGAGACTTTCCCCTATCTGCCACCTGGGGAAGCGCCCGATGGGGGTACTAACAACCCCACACGAGATATATATATATATATATATATATATATATATATATATATATATATATATATATATATATATATATATATATATATATGATCGGCCTCATTATGAACAAAGCGTTATGAACACTTATTGAATTATTCCGAAATTCCATTATTAACCTGGACGCATAATGCTGTAATAGTTATATTATTTCGTTTTCATATCGAAGTTATCCCTTAACCATTTTGACTTCTTTTCGGAGTATATAGAAACTTTGTAGTTATACCAAGTCATTACTTATCTTCAGAATAATTATAATCCAGATTATAACTATTCAAATTATAATTTATAGTAATATTAATGAAACTAATCATCAAAAGAAACGGATCTCCGTTGCATTTTACAATCAATTACAGTTTTTCAGGTATAATTTTCATTGAATGTGAAAATGAAAAGTTGGTGTATTCAATTGCCCCAAGAACATCAGACTAAGCTTACTGAAATAATTATCCAAATTGGAAATATCATACATATTTGTCAGGCCGTCATTTTCCCTTTAATAAAATGAATAACTACCTGATGCAGATGCTGTCTCCATGCAATATTCTCTTAAGATATATATATATATATATATATATATATATATATATATATATATATATATATATATATATATATATATTCATTTATTATAGTGAAAATTTGAGAATTAAAGTTACATCGAAAAGTTTTTGGAACTCGACTGGGATTCGAACCCAGGACTTTTAGATTTACGCCTTGCTGCTTTTACAACTTAGCTACCGAGGTACCGGGGTGATATATATTTATTTAGACAATTGAGTTACCTGTTTCATCTTCTAAATATTCACTGGCAATAACAGATGTTTGACACAATGAAAAGAAGTAAACTATTAGTATATTGGACGTTTCAGAGTTTTCTCCTACTTCCTCAGCATTATAAATGAATTATCTCTATGTGTTTCTTTGTTTAACTTGGTTCAATAACAATAATTTATAACAATAACAGATTTGTCAATATTTTGTCTTCTCTTCCCAAAGGTCACCATCGTTGTTGACGATGATTGTTATTCAATCAGATTGAACTACAAAACACCAGAAAAATGTCAAATTTATACTGCTGAGAAAGACGAGAAACTTCCGAAACCTCCAATGTTCTCATAATTTTCTTCTTTTCATTACTTCAAACACATGTTATTGTGAACATGAATATAGATAACATGAAACAGGTAACCAAATTGTCTATATATATATATATATATATATATATATATATATATATATATATATATATATATATATATATATATATATATATATATATATATATATATATATATATATATATATATATATATATATATATATATATATATATATATATATATATATATATATATATATATATATATATATATATATATATATATATATATATTATATATTTAGGGAGTGTTGTCGTAATGATAAGACTGTTAAAATATTTTGGGTTATCGGCAAAGGTGGGCAGAGCTAATTTAAACGATTAATAGTCAGCAATTCTTTTTCAGGAATAATAAAAATATAGACAGGTGTTAATCGATCAGTTAAAACTTGTAGAACAAGGAAAACCTATATCTGAACATCTGACAAAAGTTAATAAACTAAGAAAAACGACACAAAAGGCATCCAGTAGTAATTAATAACTGTATATATTTTTAGTATTCCTGAAGAAGAACGAAATTCGTTCTAAATATAGAATTACTGACGATTGGTCGTTTAAAATTGTTCTGCCCTTCCCACTGCCCACCTATATATATATATATATATATATATATATATATATATATATATATATATATATATATATATATATATATATATATATATATATATATATATATATATATATATATATATATATATATATATATATATATATATATATTTTCAGTGTTTAATTGGGATTGCAGTCTAGGACAGGAAAATCAGTTACCTCTTTAGTATTTTCCAAGCTTTCGAAAATGTTTATTTTCTTCTTCAGGGCTAAAATAGTACAAAAATTAACAGTTTATATAGCAAGGCACTATAAAAAGTTTTTTCTTACAATTACTGTGATTAGTCCGAAAGTATATTTTTTGAATTTTGAAAATAACAACAAGTGTTCCCAAATTTTCAAAATTCAAAAAAATAATATATATATATTTATTCTCTGATTTTAAAAAGAAGAAAACATTTTCTTACTGAAACTTACTGAAAAATTTATTGGAATTATCGGAAAATATGAAAAAAAATTGTTGAAAATACTTTTGTAGCCATCTTTCTGGGATGTCGATTTCGATTATTCGGACGAAAGGAGCGCGTTTGTGCCAAAATAATGTAAATTTGGAGATGTGAATTTTTTTCACAGTTTGTATTTGCAATTATATCCTTGCTCCGATAGGCTGTGTGTGAACCATCTTGGTGATCACCAAGCTTGGTCGAATGAAAGAAATTTCTGAGGAATCTCTGATATCAACAGAAAAATCGTAATGTTTTCTGTTCCTCTACGAGTTTTGCACTTGTATACTGATACAAGCTTCGATCATCATATATTATATCTTTGTGCAGGTGAATAGTGTGGTTATACAATTTCATGCTGGATATCCACATTCTATTTTGTGTATTATTGGAGAGCGTGTGTTCTTTTATCCAGATCTTCTTCTCAGTTCAATATCAAATATCGATTCTGGACTACGTTGTCAAAAAAACATCGATTCAAAGAATTATTTGTATATTAAAATTAAATTCAGACAAACTTATTAATTCAATTCAAACAAAGAGCGTTAGACTCTTTTGTCGATGGCAGCGGCGAACTGACATCTCTCGTACTTTAATATGCACCCCCAGGCCGGTTATAATTCCATACCCTCGATTCATCAAATGAAACATAAATTTCCAACGCGACGGGCTTCAACATAACGCGAAAATTGATGCAGATAATGCGGTGTGTATTCGCGTACTCCGAATACGCAATTGAATATTTTCGATTATATTTCGGACGTGCGTCGATGGATGATATAATACGTTACTCTATGGTCGGATGGAAATGACAGGCCATCTCGTGGACTTGAATAAGAGCCCTCTATAAATCATCGTATTAAGCAATCAATCGATAGCGATATGCAAACTTCGTCGAGTGGGTTGCTCCGGTTAATTTTGCGTCCCTTGACGTGCTCTCAGGTGCGGACTCAATTAAATTTGTCCCTGTAATTCAGCTGCTTCAGCTTTTGTCACTTGATAGCTGATCGTGATGGGGATGTGGTATGTTTTTGTTGGGTAATTGAACATCGCAGAAATGATATTATCAATTTTGTTAATGTAATTTCGATATCATTCTTGATATAATACTAATGTGTAGAGTAGGGATGATCAATATTAGAAAAACATCGATGTTGACATCGGCTTCATCATCGATTCAAAATTATCGACGTACGATAAATATGGATATAACTGAAAAATACATATTTCGGTAGCCAATAAAACCTTGTATTTATTGAATATATTCATTGTTATCGAAAAGAGTCATTCGTCTTGAGTCCGAAGAAGCCATAGTAGAACGTACGTTGGAATTGTTTGATAAAATTCTGTAATTCTCGAAAACATTGTTTCCGTTATCGTTTTAACTATGAAGTGGATATATTAACAACAAAAACAACAAAAGTTTTCATAATTGCTTATATACAAAAACAGGCACTTGACTTTCATAATCACAGATCAAAAAATTTCAATATTCTCTATATATGTATGCATGTATTTAAATTATACTATAACTTTCTTGCGATGATTTATTTGAATTATTCATGAAATTATTATAGTAGAGCTGGCTATGTGAAACGTGGACAATTTGATGTCTCCATTATCCTTCTAGGTGCTTTGATGTTTTTTTGAATAATTCGTCAAAAAATCATCGAAAGAAAGTTATATTATACTTTTAATATTGAATATTTACAAGTGCTATCATATGAGCACGATAACGACAGAACTCTTTTCTTCTTGTAGTCGATTTTTTCAGGTTTTAAGTAGCCACTCCTTGAAACTTTGAGGAATGATCAGCGAGCGTTTCTACAACCGCAACCTAGATGACATTACTTCATCAAATTAGATACGAGTGAAACAATAGTTGTAAATTGAAGTATCGTAATTGATAGAGACGTGTGAAACTTTCATTGTTACATGTATTCATGTGCTTTTTATTGATTCCTAAGATTTGAGATGTACATTAATCTATGCATTATCAGTGCATACAAATTAACAGTATATTTCTGTCTTATGATCGATAGGAGGATATTTGGGGATTAAAGTTGTTTCCTTTCGTTTGTTGGACGTGGAGTAACTGAGGAGTACACTTGTAGTACAAAACAGTGAACATTGTCTTACGCTTCGAATAAATGAGACACCGATTTCAATATTCTCCAATATTTTTCCCTAGAAGGATAATGGAAACATCACATTATTTATGCTTCAGATAGCCAGCTCTTATATCAGGATTTTTTTTTGTAGTTGTCATAACATGCTCATATAAACTAAGCAAACTTAAACTTAAGAAAATATAGGTATGTTTTTTCGAATAGAAGAATATTTCGAAAATAATATTTTGAATGTCTTTATGTAGAATGTTTGTTCAAATTCATACAAATTCATGAAGTATTTACTGTCATGTAAACATTTCACATACTCTACTAGGATGATTATGAAACTAATTAATGAATTTTTGAATTGGGTGTAATTCAATTTTAAACTTACTCTTTAACGCCGGTTGCGAACGGCCAATAGGCTTGTAATCAAATTACATTAACCAACAATTATCATCATCATTAAAGTACTTAAATCATAGACAAACACATACATCCATGCCTTCACCGGGGCTCGAACCCGAATCCTACCGCATCATAGTCGGGTGTTCTCCCGAGTGAGCCACGGAGACCGGCAAATAATCAGTAGTGGCTTAAATTTCACTAAATATACTGAAAACTCTACATATGTTTCGGGTGGTTAACCCATTATCAAGAGTATACAATGTTACTGATGATTAAACATTGCATACTTTTGATAATGGGTTAACTTGTATTGTTCTTGATAGGTTAACCACCCGAATGAATGAATGAATGGATAAAAAGACGTTTCATTGAGATTTTTGTTTACATTAAAATTCATTGTTATTTTTTAATTACAAGGTGGGAGGTTATAAGGTCTCGCGACCTTCTTCAACCCTGTGCTACTTGATTATATTATTAAAAAAAAATTTTCTTTCATATAAGTTCACATCATATTTTGAAGGTGTGGCTGTGGCCGACTCATCATTACGTGCCATTAGGTCGAATGTCAGATTTTCAATTTATCTGACATTTGATGGTAAAGGAAACCACAGAAAACTTTACCCACGTAATTAAGAACATATAGAATGATTACAATTATATTTATAATATTGTTACAGTAGAAAGAATAACACGCTGGAAGAATAGCGCTTCCTCACTCGCGCACTTTTTACTTTTCGCACGCTAACGACACTTGTCGCATGCTAACGAATGCGGAAAGGTATGTATGTCCTCTAGGTGATCGAGGATATCGTCTGAAAACATCTGGGGAGAATGCAGGATCAGTGCTGGCGGAAAGGAGAGTTTGTTTAGCGTTTTCTGCGTAGATTTATACTACAATGTTACTATCTTTTGATAATGGGTTAACCACCTGAAACATATGTAAAGTTTTTAATATATTTAGTGAAACTTAAGCCAACTGTGTTAATTTTGATTTTTTGTTTTTAACATAATGTTTCACCAATTGATAAGCCAAACCTGCGTGTCATTTAATCAGTAGTCAACAAATAATTGACCATAAGGAGATGAAACATTATAAATTTGGTAGCGTTTCATTAATTTCAATATCAAATTTAAATTCATTCGAATATGGAATTGATTTGTAACATAATTTTTCAGATATTACTTTGTATATGAATTTTATATTGTCATATAAAAATTTGAAAATGATTTAAGAACCATTGAATGCAAAATTTGAAATGAATAGTATCCATAGACCTATAAATCTTCACATATTGAAAATATCTGATTTGAATGTAAATTAGGGTGAATAATTGATAACTATAAATTTTTTTTTCACCAGTATCTAGAGTGAAAGTATAAGTGCAAAACTTTTAGTTACAGGGATATCAAACAAATAACCTGGCTCTTAAGTATCTCAATTATTTTTTGAATTATTATGATTAATTGGAGACGATTCATCACTAACTAACTGAAACATTCTTCAAAATAAATGAGAGGTAATAATAAAAACTGTCTAAAAATCACTGACTAAACAATTCTTTATTCGACTAGTTTCGCATTTCACAGCATTATCAAGAATGTAAAAGGCGAAACTAGTCGAATAAAGAATTGTTCAGTCAGTGATTTTTAGACAAGTTTTTATTATTACCTCTCATTTAAATATGAACTATCACAGAGTAGATTCATCGTCCATTGAATTTATTCTTCAAAATGTTATAGAACTTCAGTTTATTTCATTCAGTGAAATTCACTATGAACTGAGATCCGACACAAAATATTACTCAATTGAAGAATTCAATGACAGATTAGCAAGAGAATTCGGTATATCGATTTTTCTTGGCTGCGTTTTCTGGTGAGAAATTTCAATTCCGTGAACTGGAATTTTAAAATAGAGCCAATACGTCTTCTCCAAAATCTTATTATCGACTTCACCAAATGTGTAGATATTGACTTAATTTAGTCAGGATTTGGTGCCATGACAGTCAGTATGACAAACAAGAATATAATTCAATTTAGAAACTGATGAACTTAGTCATCTGTAAAATGAATCAATATTGGAAAAACCAGAATCAAATTGAGCGATTATAAGTTAGTTATTCAATAATAGCTTGATCTCTAACTCTTACAGATGAACAATAAAAGTCGAGAAGCTCAAAACAGACATCATCAAAGTAAATTTCAGAATTATCCATGACAAAATCCTTCAATAATACCTACTTGAACATCTTACCTAATTTTCCTGGCTTGTTTTTCAGAGAAAGTTGAGTGAAGTTACAGCGAAGAATTAATAACCAAGATTCACGAGGTCTGAATGAGCAGAGAATACTTGTTTCCATCTGAAATTGCCGGAAATTGAATTAGGGAAAGCTTTATCATATTTTATTTTTTTTAGTTTATCTTAATTAGGAAAATGTGATTAAATGACAGTTTTGAAATAAATCTCCAAAGATTTTTTCTTTTTTGATCGTACCTGATCGTGTCAAATTAGAAAGTTAAGATGTACTAGTTTTACAATTTTGCACGCATTTACTAATTATGGCAGCAATTGATTGATATCGTGTACCAGCTCAGAGAATAATTCACTGAATTCATTAAAATTTTAATAGAACGGTCATCTGCAACTTTGAATTGTTGTTAAAGTTTTGTTAGATGAGATTCAAAGAAGAAGGAGGAAAAGGATACTTAAACTCTTTTTTCATTTCTTCAGTTTTTCAAATTATTCTTCAGTTCCTGGAATGAACTTTGATGCATTTGTATTTCTTGTTGATAGTTGAATATATTCTTGTTTCCAGTCGTTACTCAGCTTCCAGTATCGCGAATTTGAAAATACATAAATTAGTGATGGTTTTTCATTCTTGTCTATTTTCTACCATCCTGAATAATCGGGTGGAGTTTTTGATTCGTTGTGAGATTTTTTATGAGAGCCTTTATGATCGGGCGTCTTCCTGTCGGTCTTTTGCTGCGTCGCATTTTCAATTATTTCTGTCAATTTTTATATTCACATATTCCATGATACATAAATATTGCTAATATCAAAGTTATTATACAACTATCAAAAAATTTGAAAAAAATCCTTTCGATTATAGACCTAATTTTTGTGTTCTTAAATCAATCGTCAAATACTTATTGGCTGTAGAATATATGGAAGAAAATGTAAATGATAATACAACAAGGCACACATTTCAACATATAAAAGATATGTAGATGATAAGTGGAGAATTGATTTCGAGAATAATATTACCAAAATAATATACAACGTGAATAATTGCCATAATCATGAAACAGACATTTTCATGAAATCACTGTAGAAGTAGTGGTCGAGAACTATCGATAGTATCGATATATATCCATATTATTCTTCAAAATATCGATAACTATCGATAGTATTCGATAATTTTTTTATTCATGCATGTACGATACAAATGGCAAAAGAAGAACTGAAATTATTGTATTCCTCTAATTTAAGAACAAAAACGAATACGAAACAGAAACACGGTTAATATGGGGAAAATGTTTAAATTGAAGTACACTACAAAAAATGAAATTGAGGTTATGTTGTTGTTGTTAGTCTTGTTCCTTCTTCTTCTTCTGTCTTTCACCCGCAGGCATGGAAACAACTACCGCTAGCCGATAGAACGAAAAATATCGATTGTTTTCGATAGGTGAAACTATCGATAGCTATCGATACAATACTCTCGACCACTATGTAGAAGGTAATGTTCTTGTACTATCTGAAGATTATTTTTTCTGTTGGTGATTTTTGGGAATCCGTTTTTTTTCCAAAAAAGGAACGAACAAATTGGATTACCGAAACAATGGCGGCCAAGACCACTGTCTTAGTGACTCATCTTCACCAGGTCTTTGTTTGTGGTATGAGATTCCCAATCTCAGGGGTATTCATTTTAATGTTTGACAAGAAATCCAAGAATTATATTGAGGAAAAATTGAAAGGAAAATTTTTTCCAGAATATATATTTTTATTTTTAGATAATATAGATATAAGACTGATGTTGTGGTACTCCTGGAATAAAATCTTCAGTTCAATAGCAATAACCTAACGAAGAAATGACAAGCCTTATAAGTCAGTTGTTTTTGTTTTCGAAGTTGCCGGAATTGTAATGAAAGTTTTTCGCTGCTCCTAATGAAGTTTCGGTTATCAGTAGTACCAAAACTGTTCGAACAACTTCTTCTCAAAAGAATGAAACCAGGCATTGAAGAAAATGAACTCTTTCCTAACCATAAATTCGGGTTCAGAAATAACCACTTCACAATAAACCAAGTACACAGCATTTATATGAAAATTATAAGTTATAGAAAATTCCCTAGAAAATTAAAAGGTTTATTATACAATGTTCTTAGATGTGGCACAAAATAAAGTATGGCACCAATGCTTACTACAAATTAAAATGATATCTATCGAAGCAGTTCTCTGAAATCCTACAAACTCACATTACGCAAAGATATTGCAAGAAGGAGCATATTCCGAGATGATCACAATCAATACGGGTGTTCCTCAGACAGAGTGCTGGGACCCGTACTATGCCTGCTATACAAGTCTGATATATCAGTACTCCAAAATGATATGATTGCCCTTTTGCTGATGATACCGCTATATTAACAGTAGTAAGAAATGCCGAGAAAGAGACTATAAATCTGTAGAAATCAGTAAATGGGCTGAGACATCGAGAATCGAACTGAATGAAAAATACATCCGTACATGTTAGGTTCACATATGAAAAATGTCATCACATTCAAATACTTGTAAATGATACATTAGTACTACACTTAAATACATCAATGTATTTGGGTATTACTCTAGACGCAAAGCTCCGATGGAAAGCTAACGTTGAAACAGAAAAAAAATGGGATTGGAATTAAAATACAGCAAAACCTAGCGGCTGATAGGATGTAAGTTCCAATCATCAGTACAGAACAAGTTTCTACTCTACAAGCAGATTCTGAAGCCTTTGTGCTACTACTATTATGAAAGTGTACCTAACAGATGAATCTTAATATCGCAATGATTTTAAGCCAAAATAATGAGAAATATGACACATGTCCCTTGGTAAAAGTGACTTACATAGAGATCTGAAGGTGGACACTGTTGAGCATTTATTACTCAGTTTGCCGCTAAACATGAAGAAAG